GTGTGTGTGTGTGTGTGTGTGTGTGTGTGTGTGTGTGTGTGTGTGTGTGTGTGTGTGTGTATACTAGGCCACCTAAATATTTAACCTACAGTGATACATTGAAGCAATGTTTGTGCTGATGTTAAAGCCAAAGGAGATTTGGAGCTCTACAGTTATTAAGTCAGCAGAGTGTTGGTGACTCATCATTCAGTAACCCTGATTTATAACTTTATGTGGTCTGACACTTTGTGGCTGAGTTCATGTGGTTCCGCAACACTTTCCCTTTGCAGTAATACAATCTGAAGGTCGTTGAATGCTTAGCTTTGCGAATTTTGTTTCACTCCTAACTTGTTGCAATGGCTGTATCTTCTTACAGAACCATGCTGGAATCCAGTGAGCTCTTTAGCGCTACTGTTTGTAAAGACAGACTGCATGGCTAGGTGCTTGAATTTTTCATTTAGTGCTTCCATGTTTAATAGTCTTACTACCCACATAGCAACTGGAACTTCTTTGGGCAGGCAAACCTGTTTAAACCTGTTTTCCCCCTAAAAAAGTTAGGGCATTGTACAATTTAAATAAAAGAAAAATATATGCTTCATTCTATGGGTACTCACCAATAGATTTCATTTTAATAGATTTTTGGATTTATATTTACAGGAAAAAATATATGACAAAGATTATAATGAGAAGTGGAATGTTTTAATAACACACAGTGACAGAGCTTCCTTTATCAGACACTGTGAATACCATTTCTTAGTAGTAAGGTAACGCCTAGATTCATACAAAACTTTATAACAAGACTTGTATGGACTTGCTGGCAAGCCCATAAAAACGTTAAAGGATGCTATTTTTTTTTTATTATCTACCCAAGCTGGTCATATTGCTCTGGGAACCTATATGACTTTTTAATAAGTGATAAAACATCTCCCTCATTCTCCTTAATGTTAGATGATTCGCGACAGAGGACAGCTAGCCGTAGCATCCTGGTGTAGCTCCTGTTTTTTCTGTTTTTTAAAATGGGCTCTTTCTTGGCATTGTGGAGTAATTGCCAAATGCAATTGTCTATTAGTTATCAATCTGAGTAGACAGAGGAATAACAAAGTGCATCAGGTAGAGCGATTTATTCAAGCAAGTCCCACATAACCGACTTTTTGTTTCCTCATTCTCTCTCTCTCACACACACACACACACACACACACACACACACACGAGGCATGGCCAAAAAGTGTTGTGGGTCGAAAAAAACCCTATGAAAAACACTTATTTGGTTGGTCTTTCTATGGCACAGGAACCATGTCAATAGATAATTTTTAAAATTGTATTTTGTTCATTTCTGGAGAAATGCTCCTTAAAACAGTTAAAAATGGCTCCTACAAGCTGGCCTGAGGCTGTTTGGTATGCTGTTGCTTTAGATTTGATCTGTCCCAGCCTGCATCTGAGTTTTGCTATTAAAAATAAATTAATGGCATCAGATTTTAAGTACTGTAGTCCTTAATTGTAATTTCTTTTTAAAGGGTTTAGGTAACCTTGGATATCAGGACTTCCACCAGAGGACTCTGTCAGCCTCCTCATCAAATACAGCCAGGATCACCTGCTAGACTTCATACTTTGAATCCCATCTGTGCTGACTGGAGCAGTCACAGCATCAACAGGTACCACAACAGAGTCAACAACAAGTGTAAAAATATGAATGAATTAATATGACTTTATATAACATTTTTATGTTTTTATGCCAGATTGGAACATGACCACATATGGCTCCCCATCCCCCTTTGAGCGAGGAGACGCTGGTCAGGTTCTGCCAATTGCTCTGCAGTACCTCACTCCAAACTACATCTCCATCATTGGTATTGGAGCTGTAGCTGCTGCTGTGATGTCCTCAACAGACTCTGCACTATTATCTGCCGCCTCCATCTTCTCATCCAACATATATAAGAGCATCCTAAGGACCACAGTAAGAGACCTGAAAGGAGAAGATTCGAGTTGTGGTTATGTCTTTTCTGGTTCAGTTTCCAGATTTTATTTTATTTTGGGGGTTTTTTTTGCAGGCATCAGACAGGGAGCTCCAGTGGGTGATCCGTGTCTCTGTGGTCCTGGTGGGCGTGGCTGGCACATCGCACATCTTCACTTCCCGAGTTGCACTCTTGAAGATGGCATTTATGTCCAGTGCTCTCCGGTCAGGACTATCTGCATGTTGTGATTTCTGAGAGGTGGGACGTATTCAAAGTGAAGGCCAACAAACAATCACAAAAATTAACATTAATGATCAATGGCATCATCAAAACAGACAAGGAGGAGAAGCCTGATGGTCAGAGTGAAACTGAACTAATACTAACCCCCAGTCAGCTGGAGTGACAAACTAAATGATTTAGTGGGATGCAGATGTGTGTTTTTATGGTGATTTATTACCACACCTTCTTTCTTTCTTTTTTGGCAGAAAAACAGAAATGAAGGACCTTGGAGGAATTCATTGTTTATAATCAGTGCATGGTTTGTTCCTGTTTGTCACTGACTTACTTTAAAAAAATACTTGAACCTTCTCTTTTTAGCACTTATATACCATTGCTTAGAAAAGGTTGTAGCTATGCAGCTTACAGCTGTTGCACACAAATACTTCATAAATTACAATCTTTCTTTTGTAGAATTCAGTTAAATTGTAAAATTTTACAGTTGCTTTGTGATAAATGTGTTTTCTTTTTCTTTTTTTAATCGGAATAATTATATTAGGGCATTTGCAGTTTTATCAATGAGTCATTATACAATTATGAAAGATTTTGAAATTGTAAAAAAAAACAAAGATCAGATAATTATATTTATCAATTTCTAGTATCAAATGTAAATTTTTCATGAGCTATTTTACTTGCTGTGTGGTATGCTTGGCATAGCTCTGTTATCAGGACTCTGGAACCTGAAAAGTAGATTTTAAAAACATTGTTTAATAAATTAATTGTTGTGAAGTTAAAGATGGTCACATTCATACTGAATATTCATTGTGTTTCAGACTTAATTTCAAACTTAATTTATACGTGATTTAAGCAAATTGTGAAATCTAACTTTTCAATATTCACACATTTTTTAGTAACTTCTGTATTTTAAAATCTTTGTTCATATAGCCTGTTCGTTTAATAATACAAACTATTACAGAGGCAATTGTGAGCTTATAAAAACATTTGATTATATAGCATTCTCGAGGTTTCCCAAGTGCTATTTAGTATTTTAAATAATGTTTTGGAACAACTTTTTCATTAACTGCGTTTACATTTTGTTCCAGAATAAGTGTAATTTACACCAAAAAAGTTTGTTTTAGTATTTTGTGCATGGATTACTTTCAAAATTATATTTAATAAAAACGAAGAGGGTGTATTTTGTGTTAATTTGCTGGCAATTCCTGTTTCGACCTTATGGTGGCAGTAGCACTCCACACAGTTTGTGGGCGAGTCCATAGAAAGGCAAGCAAGGAAGCGCACGTGTGGCAGCAACAACTAAGATGACTACCAGCTGAAAAGTAGCTATCCGTGGATTGTCGCTTCACTGGCGTAAGGCGAGAGAATGCAGAACAATACAGCTTTCATGTAGCGAACCTCATAAAATGCGCGAACATACGGGAAATAATGAGTTAGCTAGTTTTCGAGGACCCGGGCTAGCTTGGCAGCCTGCTAGCTCGGTTAGCGGTAGCTACAAACCCTGGACGTTTCGCCGCAAAACGTCGGTTTACGTTTGGACCTGAGTGACGTGCTTTCTATTTGATTCGTAAAATAATGTAACGTTGGCATGTAGCAATACTTCAAATAAAAAGCTGTAGATTTGCCGTTTGTCATATTAAATATGGTGGAAAAACTACTGCTCTTGCGGTTTGTCTACCTTCTTATTAAAAGCAGTGTGGCTCACTGTGTGACTGCCAGGTCATATGTGAGGTATTACAAGTGAAGGAGTGAAGTAGCAGAGGTGTGCCAAACCGTTTTCTTACACATAAGTGCTTTCTACTATTATACGCAGAGCATCTTTTTACACTGGAACAGGTGGTGTCGAGCCTTACTAATGTCGATCAGACTCAGGTGGACTTGCGTGTAAACAGTGCTCGGTTGGTAATAAGGGGCACAAACTGTACCCTTCAACACCCCTCAAACTGAAAATGTACCCCCACATTATTAAACCACCACCATCAGCACCCTAACAAGGGTGGGCTCCATGTTTTCATGTTGTTGTCTTGACTCTATTCTTGCCGTGTGATTGGCTGATTACATGTTTGTAGTATACAAGCAGTGGACCCTGTGCACCTAACAAGGTGGCCAGTGAGTGATTATGTGTGTAAGCGCTTTTGAAACGTTTATTTGATCAATACCACTGTAAGAAAAAGTGTTAAACTTTATTTCACATAACTATAAGTTTTTCAATTTGAGTTCAGCCCTACACTTGGAGAAAAGTATTCATTTATATTGATTTTGATTAGCAGATTAGATTTTTGGTTTTAATTAATGAGCAGTTAATGAACAGGTGAACCTATATGTTTCATAAGTCCTTACATCTTTTTCTCTACATCTCACCACTTTATGTTTTAGGTTTTCTGTTTAAGAATAAACTAAAATGTGCTTTCTCATCCCAACAGCTGATTAGCTTCGCTGCAGACATGGAGGGTGCTGGTGGGGAGGCTAGCCTAGATGTACAGGGGGCGGCGGCAGCAGCACCGAGCCTCTTTGGACACAAACCAAATTCTGCTAAGCCGGTTTCAGCTTTGCTAGAGGAAGCAGCCCAGCTGAAAACAGAAGGAAATGCTTTCTACAAGGATAAGAACATTCGCTCAGCCATTGGTCGTTATCACCGCGCTCTTCTGCTCCTGCGAAGCATTGACTCAGATGTGACGACATCAGTGAAAGGGTTTGGGCCTGAGACACCTGTGCTCACACCTGAACAGGAGGCTTTATTGAGAAATACTCAAGTGGACTGCTACAACAACCTTGCTGGTAGGTAAATATCATTCTGAGATAATGTCATATTCTTTCAAAGCTGTTGAAGTAGTAACTCTTTGAAAAACTGCTCTCTAGTCACTAGTTTGATACAAGTGCCTCAGTATAATCATTTCTTTATATCTCTTCCAGCCTGTTTGCTGCAGAGAAAGACTGTTGATTATACTCGTGTGCAGGAGTACAGTCTGCGAGTGCTAAAGTGGCGACCAGGCAATGCCAAAGCGCTGTACAGGGCCGGGGTAGCCACTCTGGAGATGGGAGATGCAGAGACAGCCAAAGAGTACCTCATCCAGGCCTCTAAAGAGCAGCCTAATGGTAAAGACCCAGACCATCATGATCTTCAAGAGCAAGTTGACGTAATAGTTATTTAGACATATATAGCCAGGTTTTTCTTCCCGCATATTACATTTTTAAGGACCACCAAAGAGGTTATAACCTTCTCCCAAAAGAAAAATCTCTAGGGCTCTGATTGAAAGTATGTTAGGTTTAATTTACTAAAGTTTTAAAAACATTTTGGTCCATCAAATTGCATAAAATAAACAGAAAATGTTGAGAGTTCTGTTAACTCAGATGACGCCAAATTTTGGTCATAACTACATGTGGATCGCAAAAATGGAAGATAAAGTTTAAATAAATGAAGATAAACAATTCCTGATAACAAGTCAGGAATTGATGGGTTCTGTTGAAATTATTTATAACATAGTTATATGGACCTTGTACTCAGAGCTTGTTTCTGTGCTGCCATTATTAGTGCCGCTGTGCTGTCTTTCTGGATGTCAGCCACTTCCTCTATCTGCCAGTTGCACATACTGTTTTAAATGCTACCGAAATATGCAGCACATTCATCATAGTAGTTATCATATTGTGACTAGCACTGCTAGCACCAATAGCTCTCTTTCCTTACATCTTAGTCCACACTTGTTTTACAACGTTCTCACAGAGGCTGTGTCATAATCTTTGGGCCAAGAGGTATTTCTGGTGGCGACTTTCAAGAGCGAAAACATTAAACATTAATGCAGCTAGTTGCACTAGCTGAAAGCAGGAAAAAATAGCAATAAAAAGAATCTGTGTCTTTGATGAATACGTTGTGATTTGTAGATGATTAACACAGAGCATGTCGAAACAGCAGTTCTTTGGTGGGAGCCGTTTTGTGTCCAAGTGACGTAAAATTTCTAAATTAATAAATGGTGAACAAGTAGCTCAATGTGGACGCCTGTGCTCTCCAAATGTATTTATTTTTCAGTCTACATTTGCAATTAGTCCACCATCATAACCAAAAATTGTTCTTTTGTTACACTGCTATCCATTCGGAAATGGTAATTAATATTAACACTCATCTTTAAAGTAAACAGTCAGCTCAGCTTGAGAAAAGCTTACTGACCTTGTTTAACTTTGTGATCAATTAAACCCATGAGTTAGAAGCGTCACCATTTCCCATGTTAAAGGTGTTTAATTAAAGCATGTTAGAAGACTCATGTATGAGTCATTTCATTTTATCAAGACCAGGTGGTAGCTTGTAGAGTTGCTCATAGTAATTTAAGCATAGTTTAAATTACTGATCTTTTCTCTGGAGACCAGCGAGTTAAAGTATACGTTTCTGTCACAGATGCCAATGTGAGGAAGTACCTGCAGAGGGCTGAGGAGAAACTCAGTCGGGACTTACAAAAAGAGAAAGCCATGTATCGAGGCATGTTTTCCTCCAACCAGAATGATCGCTCCGAGGGTGGGATTAACCAAACCAGAAGAGCTGGCGACGGCGTTTAGCCCACAAGCTGAATGTGCCAAATAAAACCTCAGCCTGAGAGACTGCTCCAACCTCAGACCACACCACAAAGGGGTTAAGGAATGTTTACATGTCTTGAACGACTCTTGCTGTGTCTCCATGGGAGAGGATTGACGTAAGCATAACAGACATTATACAGACTTGAGGAAAGCAGTCAGTTGGAAAGCAAAGATGTCACTGCTGAAAATAGAAAAGACAGAAAAGTTGGTTTCCTAGCAACACAGTCTAATATAGTTCACAAAATGCTTCTGAAAGCTAAAGAGGCTCTTCATGCACTACTCAATTGCCTCTGTGATTGCAGTTGTTTGGTCAGTGATATGAATGTTAATTTTGTGACTTTTCAATAAAATTATTTGTTAAAAAATGCTAATTTTCATTCATTTTTTTAGCAAAGCCCTTTGCTGACACGTATCTTTAATGCACTTACAGTAGGAAGAGCACACGTTCAGTTATAAGTTTCCTTTATTAGTCATAAGCCATAAGAGGACACATATGTATCTTGGATAACTCATCAATACTTTAATTCAATGTTCATTTCAAAATCCTGAGCAAAATATCAAGTTAAAGAGTATTTGCTTAATTTTGGTCATAATCTGGCCAATGTGATTGTACTTCAGTGGCAATACTGCCCATGATCAAAGAGGAATATCACAC